AAAACGAGCATATCGTACTAGCAGTTCCTACCCTAAACGGGCAAAAGTACCTCTCTCCCCCATCCGGGCCCCCCCCCCCCCCCCCCCCCCGGGCGAATGATGATGTGGAAACGAAGCCAAGTCCCAGACTTGTACAAGACCAGAGTATTCAGGGGAGTTACGTGTAGTAACAGCTTTATGTCTCACTATTTCACAGCGGTGAACGTTCGACTACAGAAAAACTCGACTCAGCCGTCACGAATTATCTTCGGTGGACTTGCTACAAAGATCCACTTACAGGACGAGAAGTTCAATTGTGAGTAACGTAAACGTAGAGCTAGATCTGATTTGCATGTGAAGTCTAAGCTTAGAAAAGGACGAACGAGCGAGCGAGAAAACAAACAATCAATCAATCAATCAAACAAACAAACAAACAAACAAGCAAACAAACAAATTAAGCAAATAAACAAAGAAACAAATTAAGCAAACAAAATTTACGACTCTTCATTTACCATAGGCTTTGCACCACCACGTGGTGGCAAACATGACAAGAGGCAGGGACAATTCTGGTCTAATCAGTCTTAAGGCTGGTTTAGACTGAACGATTTTCGCCTACAACTATCTTATACAACACGCTCGCGTCTGTCGTAGGCGAGTTGTAGGCTTGATTTACACGCTACGACTCGAGTTGTAGGATGGCGCAAGCGTGTTGTATATGATAGCTGTAGGCGAAAATCGTACCGTCTAAACCGGCCTTTATATGCGAAAGAGTTCCGTTTCCGTTTCCCAGGGGGAAGACTCTATTGTTATGCCTCCTGTCATGGCTGCCATCACGTGATACGGGTGCATGCATGCATGCATTGCTCATACATTACTCAAGCACGTAARGAAATTTCATCTTATCATCCATCTAAGATCATATCTGCATTTATCATTAGTGTTTTCAAGTGCATCACGAGTATGTTTCTATTCAATCATCAGCACCAAACCAATGGTCGGCTATGGTGGATTTGTACCTAGCTATCCAGTCCTACCCAGGCCCCAGGAACGCTGCTCGAATCCCGGCCTAATAAGTATATCAAGAACGACATACAAGTAAGCTTATTTGATACATGTGAAAACTATAGTTTAGGGGTATTCCCTTCTCAATTCTTAATTCCTAGCCGGGACTTGGCGTCGCATGAGAGTAGAGTTTGTCTTGAAGGTCGTTCTCCGTATTCTCCGCTTTAAATTGATTCCCTTCCTGCAAATCCTAACTGAACATTAA